CATTATGCAGCCCCTGATGATACATTGAGAAGGCCACTTGTGTGGTCTCCTTACCAAGAATGTATTATCCCAATCTAATCACAAGACGACATTGGACAAATCCAAATTGAGTGACATTCTACAAAATAACTGACCAGGACTCTTCAAAAGTATCAAAGTCATGAAATACCAGGAAAGACTGGAGAACTGGCACCCACTGGAAACAAAGGAAAAAATACAACTTTAGTTAATGTGAGATCCTGGATTGGATCTTGGAACAGAAAAGGGGCACTAGGAGAAAAGACTGGAAAAGTCCACAGTTTAATGAATGTTAATTCATTAACATTCATTTAGTTAATTCATTTAGTTTTGATTATTTTACCATAGTTTTGTGATTTTTTTAGTAAATCTAAAAGTATTCCCCCAAAAGCTTAAAAACTATATGGATAAAGAATATATTTATGAACATAAAATATCTTCACAATATATCAATATAAAAAGCAAATCACAAAAAAGCATATATTTTTGTTTAGTTACCAAAATAAATATATATACATGTACTTGTAGTACAAATGTATGTAGATGTACATACACATATTTTTATACATATAGCATATATGTATACTCATATCATGACACGTCATATCTTATCATACTATACCCAGAGTACAAAGTGATACCAAAGTATTTCCATTAGTTTTCTCAGGGTGGATGAGATTGTAGATGGTACTGTTTTTTAATCTTCTTTTCTTCATGTCTTTATTTTCTAATTCTTCTGCCATTAACCTTTTACTGTGTATTTTCTAACTTTTTTTTTTTTTTTTTTTGAGACAGAGTCTTGCTCTGTCACCCAGGCCAGAGCACAGTGACACAATCTTGGCTCACTGCAACCTCCATCTCCCAGATTCAAGCGATTCTCATGCCTCAGCCTCTTGGGTAGCTGGGACTACAGACGTGCGCCACCACGCCCAGCTAATTTTTGTATTTTTGGTAGAGATGGGCTTTGCCATGTTGGCCAGACTGGTCTCAAACTCCTAGCCTCAAGTGATCTGCCCAGCTTGGCCTCCCAAAGTGCTGGGATGACAGGCTTGAGCCACCATGCCCGGTCTCTAACATTTTTATCATTTAATTTTTTATGTAAAATCCAAGCAACAAGCTGAGTTGGGGAACCAAGGGAGCCCCCGCTTCAGGATTGAGCTCCAACAGTGTGGTTGCGGAGACTCTCTGATCGCTGTCTTCTTTGAACGCATTCTCTATTGTTTCATGCCAGGGCAGGTCTAGGGTAATGTCTCCCCTTTCTTTGATTTCTATCTACTAGCAGGTATTCACACCCTCCCAGTGGGTGATCTCAGCTTTTATGTTCCCACCAAATGTGTCATCAGGTCCTCTTCAAAGCCCAGAGTGCACAAGAGAAGTGTGGGCAGATAGCTGGTAAACCCTGGACTTTCTAGGCCAGAGACCTTCCCAAAGCCAAAAGGAGAAGCAGCACCATGTAATGAATGGTTCAGGCACTCCCTTTATTGATAGAGCGGGGTGTCAAAATATAAATATGATGTGTATGTATCTTCAGACCCCCAGAGGAAATGGAGTCCTTCATTCAAAACTTTCTACAATCTGACTGCTCACCCCTAAGAAAGAAGTGAGTTTTACCAGAAACTGACAGTCATTTCTTTTAACCATTCTCTTTGGGAAACGATTCTGCCTGCTCAGATTTACAAGCAATTTAATTTTAGGCTCAACATTCTGATTCCACGAGACAGCAGATGGCAGAGGCTAAGGTGGGGCTTCCTAGGAGCAGAGGGGAGGCGGAAAGGAGGCCAGCACCACAATTAGAGCAACTTTCTCATTACACGACTCCCAGCACAGTGGACACAGGCGCCGGCCCCTTGGAATTTCAAATCCAACTTCTCAGAGATTTATTTTTCTTTTGAAACAATTTCTGGCAGCTTTTGATCTTCTAAACTGAAAAAAAAAATCAAAGAAATCTGTTTCTCTGGAGTATTAATAGCAAAGGAATTTCTGGATGCTGCAAAGTAGGAAAGGAACATAATAGCATCTCAGTTTTATTCATCTTCAAAGCAAACTAAATATAGTTTTAAAAAAATAGAAGCAGGATACCCTACAGATTTTTGAAGGGATGGAATAAACCTCTTTGCACAAGAAAAGATGACATGAAATTTATCTTGAAGGACACTCACTGGGCTCTTGTCCGTTTAATACCTACAAGTGGGCTGTCAGAAGGGATCTGGATTTTACATCAGAAGTGAAAAATAGCTAATGATTCAGGGAACTCAGAAGCTCAACCATTTTCATCAATATTGGACATTGCCTCTCTTACCCTGCTGGGATATCAATACCACGTGTCCTCCCAAAGCACAAGGACATTCAGACTTTTCTAATGAGCAAACATCCAGCCAACATGCATGAAAAACTGAGCAGCATCTTCATATTCCCAAAACCCACACTTGATTTTTACTGCCCATGTTGATAGTAAGTATGGAAGAAGTAGTGGGAGGCGAGTTTGTAATTAGCTGGGGTGCAGATGGCAAGGTGCCTGTATGTGCAGGTGAGTATGACAAGAGAGTGTTATCGTGTATTATTTGAAAAGAATATAGTAGCTATTGAGGAGCAACTACGAGTCAGATGCTTCTCCGGGCACTGAAGATACAGCAGCACCTACACACAAACACAGAGGCTAATTTCTGATTTTGATCTGTGCTGTAAAAGAAATACATGAGAAATCTGACGGAGAATTTTGGGAAGAGGGTGAACATTTAGAAAGGAATCTGTCTGAGGAAGAGATTCTGGGCTGAGTTAAATGATGAGGTACCAGCCCTTCAAAGAACTAGGGAGAAAGCTGCTCCAAGCAGAGAAGAGTAAGTGCAAAGGCCCTGAGGCCTTCTTGCAGCCCCTCCCATATTCCCTGAGAACTCACCTTCCCAGTGCACACCCGCAGTGCTCTACGGCAAGCACTCAAGTCTCTCTGCCTGTGTGCTCTGTCTTGGAAGTGCCTTGAACAGGCCAGAAGTGCTGGGAAGTTAATGCCCCCAGAAGCAGCTCTCAGCCAATCCCCAGTTGGGGTTGGTGCTTAAACACCAGCTTCCTCACCCATGGAGTGGGACCCTCGGAAGCAAGCAGCATGGTCAAGCTCCACTCGCCTACAGCGACAGCCTGCTCTAATGAAACACACCGGCCTGTCTGATTTCCCTTCCTTCCCTATCCTACTTCCCACTCCACCACGGTTGCTTTCTAGGATTAACTCCAAATCAGTGGCACGCATTCCAACCACTCATCTCAGAGGCTGTTTCCCGAAGACTCAGACTAAGATGAACTGGAAAGGATTTGGTGGGGAGTCAAGGGAAGATCGGCACACAGGGACTCTAGACAAGACATGAGGGGCCAGGTCATGCAGGCCACTGATGTCCCTAGAGGAAATTTGTCTCTCCAATTGTTTTACAGTGGCAGCCTATCTTCACCAGCAGAATGAGAAACCAGTTGTAGGCAAGGACTGGCCTTGAACCGACCGTGTATCCCTACAAAATGCCTTCTCTTGTTTCTCCTTGACAGCATCTACCCCCATCCACAGAATCATTGAGCTCGGAGGATGTAGGGACTGACCACATAGTCCAGAGGATGTAGGGACTGACCACATAGTCCAGAGTCAGCTCCATGGGGTCAGGAACTTTGCTTTGCTCAGAGGTGTAACCTTCACACCTCTAACACCATCTGGCACTAGTATGTGTTTGATAAATACTTGTTGGATGAATTAATCCTACAAATGAGAAAATCAGGAATCAGAGAAGACCAATGACTTATCTAAAGTCATGCCCAAGTCGACTGGAAAACTGAGACTAGAAACCAAACTTCTGCTACCAAGAGGCTTTGACTATGCCTGCAACTCTCACAACCCAGGGTTGATCTGGCCACTGTGGTCATTCACGGTGGCTGCTGGTCACCCTCCACGAAAGGTCTCTACAAGACTTTGTCATCACCTGGGACAGTTACAGGGAAGGAAAAGGGCTCAACAAAAAAGCACAGGTTTTGAAGCCACGCAGGCTGGATTTAGGCCCTGACTCTGACCTCAACACAAGCTCTGTGACCTTGACCTGAGACCTCAGCCCTCTGAGCTGCTGGGATAAAGAGATCAACTCTCTTCAGAGGAAGGAGAAAGACAGTAGGGCCTGAGAAGGAACAACCTCACATCTACCTTTTTACCTACTCTTTGTCCCTCTAGCAGAAAGGACACTAACCCTTTCCTAGACAATGGAGAAATCCTGGAATATCCGATAAGGGGTTCTTCACAATTTTCATGTAAATAACCTGATGAATGAATATAAATTAATTTTTTAATCAATTGTTGCCTGTAAAAGTAATCTAGACAAAATAGAACAGACAACATTTCAAATGGGACATGTAAAAATTTATTATAGAATTAACAGAAGATTGAAATCATCCTGCCAAAATTTTTTGCACCAAATTCATTCCAGAAAACCTGAATTTGGTGGAAGTAATACCCATAAAAGAAAACTCCCAACAGAAACATGTTATAATTTGCAAAATTTGATAAGGGGGGGGGAAATAAAACCTGATCAATGAAGCAAATCTTCACTCTAAAATCTACCTAGAAAACAATTGATATTGATGAAAATAAGGGAAAATCAGGACCTATCTGACTGTGTTCTATAGAAAAGAAATTAATCTGTTAAACTGGCTTAATGGAGGACTCTCCCGGCATAAATGTATCTGTTTTCGTTTAATTTTTAAGAATAACGTGTGTGTTCATAAAGCTTCAGAGAATGCTAGGGATCAAAATGGTAGGTTCTAAATGTCCCTGGAGTCAAAATGGTGAGTTCTAAACTCCCTGTCCCTGGCATAGAGCCCTGGTTGCCCCAAGGAACTCATTTGTTTCCTTTACAAGTATGTGCTGAGCCTGGGCCTGCTAGAGACACTAAGTACCCAGGATTTGGGGTGAATTTTAAATCTCAGGCCCCAAGGAGCCTGGGGTCTAGAGTGGAACTCACCCAGGGAAGGATGATGTGATCAACTGTGGTGGCAGATGTAGGAAGGCAAGAGGGACTCATCCCTGTGGCAGGTGTGTGGATGAGTCTTTACCGTGGACCTCTTAGCTGAGTCTTCCTGGATGAGTCTGATGCCTCCAAGCTGCCAAGATGCCCCCATTGCAGGCAAGGGGCAACAGTCTGGGCAGAGGCCTGAGGACAAGCAAAAACACAGAGCATTCAGAAACCTCAAAACATCCCCCTGAGGTTAGACCTGGAGGAGCGATGGGTGGAGGGGAAAGACAGAGACAGGCCAGGGCTGAAGGGCTGGCACCTTGCATCTCCGGCTTTCTCCTGCAGCAGCGGAAGTCAGGAAACATGACTGTGACAGGGGCGAGCGAGGGGCATGAGACTAGAGGCAGGCGCCATGAGGAGGCCGAGGCAACTGTGCAGGGCAGGATGGTGGCAGGGAGCTGAAAGGGAAACTGAGGAAGTGGGATGGATAGAACACAGTGAGGTGAGGAGGAAGAGGCAGGATCTGAGGCTGCCTCCCAAGGAACTGGTTAATGTGGTGGAGGATGGGGCAGTCTCATGAACCATGAATGAAACACCAAGGAGGTTAGGGCTGAACATGTAAGATCATTTTGTTCAGTTGTTTAGAAAAATGTTGGCATCAGAATCCTTCTAATTAAATCTTAAGAATTAACAAAGAAAGAGAGAGGGAGAAAACCCAGAACTGCTTTAAATACCAAAGAGCCTGGAGACGTGCAGAGGGGGTTGGCCTCCCCAGGATCACAGTTGGAAGGCCCCTGAAGGTCCAGGCCCCTCTTCTCAGCTGAGGCTCAGAGAGGAAGGGTTTCCTGGCACAGGGCACACGGCCATGGAGGCTCCAGAACCCAGCTCAGGGACTGCTAGAGCCCTGCTCCTCCCTCCACAGCCAACAGTCCCCGCTAATGAGGACTTTGCGTTCTTGGCCCCGCTCCTGCCCAGCTGGTCTTTTGGCTGAGAACATCTTAGGCTGCATGAGAGCCTTACCCTCACAGGCACACCCGCTTGGACCTGCCTATCCAGATCCCCACACTCTGGATCTTGTCCATACTCTGGTCCCTTCTGAGAAGGGTGAACGCCATGATAACGTGGTTCGTTGCTGTTAGAGGATTCATCCCCCTTCTGGCATCCATCCTCTGGCGGACACTCACTGTTCACAGGCCCTCCAGGTGCGGCTGGCCCAGGCTATGAGCAAGCGAGCAGCAAGTGTGAACACCACTGGATTTGCTATTGAGACCTGGATTTGAGCCACAGCTCTGCCATAAGCCAGATGTGTGGCCTTTGAAAAATCACCTGGCCTCTCTGAACCACAGATCCATCCTCCACAAAGCAAAGGCCATAATGCTGGTCCCACCTCCATGAAATTGCTGTAAGGATGAAGGGAGGCAATTAAGCAAATCCACATTGCATCCTGAAAACTTTCATTGGAGATGCAAGGGGCCTGTGGCACTCTCATCTGTTACTTCCCCTGCCAGAACTAGCAGTACTTACCATTATTGTCACCAGGCGCCACTCTTCAGAAAAACCCTAGAGCTGTGATGCAGGAGAGAGCTAGGAGGAGTAGGATGAAGGCGCAGGACCTACCTAGAAATTTGCCTCGTGTTTGTGCCACTAGGCCTTCACTCATGCTCTACTTTTTTTTTTTTTTTTTTTGAGACGGAGTCTTACTCTATCGCGCAGACTGGAGTGCAGTCGTGCGATCTCGGCTCACTGCAAGCTCTGCCTCCCAGGTTGAAGTGATTCTTCTGCCTTAGCCTCCCAAGTAGTTGGGATGATAGGTTTGTGCCACCACACCTGGCTGATTTTTGTATTTTTAGTAGAGGTGGGTTTCACCATGTTAGCCAAACTGGTCTCGAAGTCCTACCCTCAGGCAATCCGCCCACCTCTGCCTCCCAAAGTGCTGGGATTACAGGTGTGAGCCACCGGGCAAGGCCCTATTTACTCTTAATTTATGTACAATCGGAACAAACTTGTTTATCTGTTTCCCAGCTCTTTGTACTTGAGAAGTAGGAAATTTCAAAAAAGGTAGGAGAAAGGGGAAGGAAGAGCTTACTGAAAAGGGCAGGACAGGAGGACAGAAATATCGTAAGTAGGCACGAAACCCACTATCACAGCCTGGGGACACAGGAAAAGTACAGGAAGCCAAGGCCATCACTGCACAATTGTTGATGCTCCCAGTACAACCCTGAGTTGCCAAAAAATAAAAACAGAAGCCAAACATTAAATAAATTTCGGCATACTCTGGTTAAGAAGCTGTGACTTTTTAAAATAGTCACAGCTTTTAAAATCAGCAATTCTACTTCTAAAATATATATCCTAAGAAAATAACAGACAAGGGCAGACGGTTAAAGATTATTTATTACAGCATTGTTTCTAGTGGGAAAATTTGGAAATAGTCCAAATGCCCTCCTAAAGAGGACTGGTTAAAGCAGCTCTTCCATTCTCAATAAAACTTTCCAGAAGGGCTGCTGTATTTTCATGTCACCTAATCCATGACTTTCCTGTAAATTAATCCACGTGTTTTATTACAGTAAATGTAGGCCGGGCGCGGTGGCTCAAGCCTGTAATCCCAGCACTTTGGGAGGCCGAGTCGGGCGGACCACGAGGTCAGGAGATCAAGACCATCCTGGCTAACCCGGTGAAATCCCATCTCTACTAAAAAATACAAAAAACTAGCCGGGCGAGGTGGCGGGTGTCTGTAGTCCCAGCTACTCGGGAGGCTGAGGCAAGAGAATGGCGTGAACCCAGGAGGCAGAGCTTGCAGTGAGCCAAGATCCGGCCACTGCACTCCAGCCTGGGCGACAGAGCGAGACTCCGTCTCAAAAAAAATAAAAAATAAAAAAAATAAAAATAAAGTAAATGTATTTACTTCAAAGAAAAAAAAACTATATTATCCTAAATGGAATATTAGTGTCAGTGCCATAAATAAAAACAATATCACAATGGAAAGAAAGTAATGTTATTAAAATCTAACTTGATCAAGTTGCCTCTTTAAGACTGAGCCTGACGGCTACTGTGATGGTTTGAGGACTGGATTGAAGGATGCAAAGTATTGTCTCTGGGTGTGTCTGTGAGGGTGTTGCCAAAGGAGATTAACATTTGAGTCAGTGGACTGGGAGAGGCAGACCCACCCTCAGTCTAGGTGGGAACCATCTAATCAGCTGACAGCACGGCTAAAATAAAAGCAGGCAGAGGAACGTGGGAGGACTAGACTGGCTGAGTCAGCCTTCATCTTTCCCCCATGCTGGATGCTTCCTGCCCTTGAACATCAGACTCCAAGTTCTTCAGCTTCTGGACTCTTGGACCTACACCAGTGGTTTGCCAGGGACTCTCAGGCCTTTGGCCACTGACTGAAGGCTGCACTGTCGGCTTTCCTACTTATGAGGTTTTGGGACTCGGACTGGCTTTCTTGCTCCTTAGCTTGCAGACGGCCTATTGTGGGACTTCACCTTGAGATGGTGTGAGTCAATACTCCTTAGTAAACTCCCTTTCCTATATTCATCTATCCTTTTAGTCCTGTCTCTCTAGAGGACCCTAACTAATACAGCTACTGACTTAGCAAGTAAGAAAGAAAGGAAGAGAGAAAGGACGGGAGGGAAAGAAAATGACTTTTAAACTAATAATAATAACAAGCAGGGGAGACATTAGAGGTACTCTAGTGAGGTGCTGAAAGCATACCCCAGCAGGCTGGGACTTTCCCCTTGTACCCAGAAGGGTTGAAGTATAATCAAAATTCATGAAGCACTATCTCACTATGTGAGTTAGTATTATTTGGGGGTTGCTCTGGAAAATAGACTTAAGACACACCAACAACCAAATGCAATGTAAGACAGTCTCTCTGTTTGGCTCCTGATTCAAACAAAACAGCTGTAGAAAGCACAGTCTGGAGACTATCAGGGAAACCTGATGATAGACCAGATCCCAAGGTCAACTTAGGTCCTGGCTCTGTGGTTGCACAAGAAAATACCTTCTTCCCTCACCCATGCCCCTGACAATCTCCTGGCCAGAGATTTATACTAAAGGATTCAGGAGTAAAATGACAAGATAACTGAATTTGCTTTAAAATATTTCAACAAAAGAAAAAAATTTTAACTGTGGCAAAATGTTGATAATTTTTGAATCTAAGTGATGGGCCTTTGAGAGTTTATTGTACTCTTCTCTCTACTTGTCAAAGTTTGAAAAATTGCATAACAAAAAAAGGAAACAAAAAATATAAACAGAAAATTTCTTGTTCGTAGGCCACCCGGCTTACAAAGCCCATGTCATTTTGAAGAGTTTAAAGACCCTCATCTGGGTAAGTCAAGTTTCAATTTCTGTGCACATTAGTCCCCAAAACTCTGACCATTTTTCATTACTGTACATCAGACTCTGCAAAAATAAATAAAAATAATGATGGAAATCCATGCACGATGAGGGGGGAATGTATCCAAGGCAGATTGTTGAGGAGGAAAGCATACCATACAAGACTGTATTTATGTGAAACCTAAAGGAAAATCCATCTCCCCATTATAGGCCTAGAGAGAGTGTGGGAGCTGGCCACGGAGACCCTAGGAGGAGCTATGTTGGGGTAAGGGGGAGGGGTCCTGCTTTTGTCTGCATGTTTATCTGTATTGTCTAAAATTTAATTGTATTATTATTATTATTTTGAGATGGAGTCTTGCTCTGTTGCCCAGGCTGGAGTGCAGTGGTGCCATCTTGGCTCACTGCAACCTCTGCCTCCCAGCTTCAAGCGATTCTCCTGCCTCAGCCTCCTGAGTAGCTGGGATTACAGGCACATGCCACCATGCCTGGCTAATTTTTGTATTTTTAGTAGAGGTGGGGTTCCACCATGTTGGCCAGGCTGGTTTCGAACTCCCGACCTCAAGTGATCCACCCTCCTCGGCCTCCCAAACTGCTGGGATTACAGGTGTGAGCCACTGCACCCGGCCAAAATTTAACTTTTTACAGTGAATAGATGTCATTCTTAGAATCAGGTGAGAAGGCTGCTACCATTTTGAGAAAATAAATCAGAAAACTATTTCTATCTGTATAATGAAATTATTTAACACATATGGCAGTTTAAAAGAAAATTAAATTCCCATTATTACCATGGTTCTCTGTGATACTGGCACATTCACAGTCAGTGTCTGGAGAAGGCACTAGAACAGGCCTCCCATGAGCTCATCTCAGCATGAGGGACTGAGTCTGAGGGAGGAGCGTCAGGTTTCCTTGACTTCACCCCTTTGCCCATGCTGTGCCCCTGACTGGCACGCCCTCCCAGTTCTTCTGTGCCTCCCTGACCCCATCCATCCTGGCTGAGCTACAGGAAGTCTGCTCTGAAGCCCCGGCCCACGCATCCTCACAGAGGATGCATTACTCTGACATCCATTACTCGCCTTATCTTCAGCAGATGTCAATCTCCCATCCATCTGTAGGTACCTGACCTCCATCTGTAGGTTGGAGAGCCGGGGCCTTGTCCTGGACAGGTGCCGTGCACCCTGCAGAGAGCAGAGAACACTGTGGAGTGGAAAGCAACACAGCCCCGCTTCATGTTCCTGCTCCTCCCAGCTGGGAGACCCAGGGCAAATCATGTAACTTTAAAAGGCCTCAGTTTTGACAGCTGTAAAATGGGAATAAGTGAATCTAATGGCTAAAAACCTCTCTGGAAAATTAAACGAGAGATTGTATAGAGAGCGTTGCTAATATATAAGCATCTGATTAAAATATAGCTATTAGTGTTATTGATTCTCCGTAAATGTTTACTGATAATGATGAAGACAATATTAAAGATTTTATTATCCTTTGAAAAACTACTGGGCTATATTTATTTCAAATGTTTCCTTAGGAAGTAATAAAAAATGTTTTCAATGAACAAGGATAGTCATTGCATATAACAGTAAACATAGTAAGCAATCTCCTATGGTTTATCATGCAGCTATTAAAGGTGATAAAATATGTTGTGTGACATGGGAAATACCTATGATATACTGCAAAATTTTAAAATCTAGCTATGGGGCTGGGCGCAGTGGCTCACGCCTGTAATCCCAGAACTGTGGGAGACCAAGGCAGGCAGATCACCTGAGGTCAGGAGTTCGAGACCAGGCTGGTCCTGATCTACAATGTGAAACCCTGTCTCTATTAAAAATACAAAAATTAGCCAGGTATGGTGGTCGGCGCCTGTAATCCCAGCTACTTGGGAGCTAAGCCAGGAGAATCGCTTGAACCCAGGAGGCAGAGGTTGCAGTGAGCCAAGATCATGCAATTGTACTCCAACCTGGACAAGAGTGAAACTCCATCTCAAAAAAAAAAAAAATCTAGCTATAGGAGAGGGGAATCTGTGTGTGTATGTGTGTGTGTGTGTGTGTGTGTGTGTGTGTATGCACACATTATATGTGTGTGTATATATATATATGTACATATTATATAGAGAGAGATCCAAAGAAATTCTAAGGAGAAATACTCTAAAATGTTAATCATGGTTATCTGTGGATTAAGGGCTTGCAGGTAGCTTTTTTTGTTTCTTTTCGTTTACTTGAATTTTTTTAAA